GCTGAAGAAACAACACTGCCTCAGATGTTACTGGTAGATAGGAACAATCTTGGCCACTTTTGGCTAAAATGAGTTTATTAAACATTTTCAAGAGGAAATAGATTCATTAGTTTTAACACGTTATATTAAAAGTATACTGTGAAGTCTCCCTCACTCCCTATTCTCTCTGTCTGTTTAATTCTTATATATCATTCCGAGTTTCTTTATGTAAATATAAGCAAATCTCAACATATATTCTTGTTGCTAGTGCCCCATCCCCCAATTTTTACCCCTTTGATAGTGCACTCTATGTACTATTCTTCATACCTTTATTCAATTATTTGATATCTCATGGAGATATTTTTCCATGTAAGTACATAGAGAACTTCCTCATTCTTTTGTTTGTTCACATAATACTATAAATGGATGTACCTTGATTTAATGAACACACTCTCTATTTGGGAACATTGCTGACCTTCTGCTATTACAACTGCTTCAGTGAATATGTTTATATATACATTGTGCATGTGTGGTAACGTATGTGTAAATTCCTCATAGTGGTTGCTGTATTAGAGGCGTTGTGCATTTGTAATTTTGTTAACCATGCCAGATTCCCCTGCACAGAGTGTTAGTAACTTAAGCACTAATCAGTGAAGCCAGTGAAGCCTCACAGCTCCATTTATGGAGTATTTTTCATGCTTTTGGATCTTTACCAATTTGATAGGTGAGAAATGGGCTTGTAGTGAAGTTTTAATTTGTTTTTCCTATTAAAAGTGAGGTTGTACATCTTTTTTGATGGTTAAGAGATTGGTATTTCCTTTTCTCTGAAATACCTTTCATGTCCTTTGTTCATCTTTCTTCTGCTAATTTTTAACTTGCCAATTTCTAGAAGCTCTTTAAATATTAGGAATTTTACCCTTTTTGATATGAGTTGCAAATATTTTTTCTTAGGTTTTTAAATTTTTAACTTGTGTTTTTTTTGCCATAAGGAGCTCTTGGTTTTTATATTGTTGAATTTGTCATGTTTCCTTTATAGCTTTTGTATTACTCTGGCCCACTATTGAAGGCACAAGATCATTCATTCTTTCTACGGTGCCTCCTTCCAAATGCTTTTGGTACCTTCCCCTAAGTTTGTGTTCCTGGAAATGTATTTCTTGTCATTGATAAGGTAGCCCTTGACAGTTTTGTTGGAGATTTTAGTGGTCTGAAATATCCCCATTTTCTTGGTATAGGCAGTCTGAGAAACTGTTTGGCAGTTTCTTATAAACCTAAACATGCAATTACCGTATGACCCAGCAATTGCATTCTTGGGCATTTATCTCAGAGAAATGAAAACTTATGTTTACACAAAAACCTGTACATGACTACTCATAGCAGCTTTGTTTGTAATAGTTCAAAACTGGAAACAACCAGATATCCTTCAGTGGGTGAATGGTTAAACAAACTCTGGTGCATACATGCCATAGAATACTACTCAGAAATACAAAGGAGTCTGAACTATTGATATATCAACAACATAGATGAATCTCTGTTGTATTATGTGGAGTGAAAAAATACAATCCCAAAGGTTACAAACGGTATTATTTCATTTAGATAACATTTTTGAAAGGATGGAAGTTTAGCAATGTCGAGATTAGTGGTTGCCCGTTTTTAAGAATGGGAAGGAGGGTGGGAGAAAGAAAGAGGTAGGTATGGTTATAAAAGCAGCACAAGTTATCTTTGTGGTGAGGAATTTTTCTGTGTCTGACTGTAGTGGTGGATATATGAACCTGCACATGCGGAAAAATTGTATAGAACTAAACACATGCACGTGCACACAGACACACACACATATAGAGTGCAACCAAAGTGGGGACATCTGGCCAGGCATGGTAACATGTGCCTGTCTATAGTTCTTGCTGCTTGGGAGCCCGAGGTGGGAAGATCGCTTGAGCCTTTGAGTTTGAGGCCAGCTAGGGCAACATAGCAAGACTTGTCTCTAAGTAAAAAAAAGAAAAAAGAAAAAAAAGATGGGGGTGGAAGTTTGAATAATACCATGATTGTATCAATGCCATTATCCTGGTTGTGATATAATACTATCATTCTGCAAGATATTGCCATTGGGATAAACTGGGTAAAGGGCACACAAGATCTTGTGTACCAGAATTTGAATTTAAAGTACATTTCCATTTCTGCTAATACCAGATTCGCCAAAAGATACTACTTAGAGGCAGGTTCAGGTCAAGTGACTGGTACTCTCGTGTGTTAGGACTAGCAGTGGATTAGTTACTGGGTGAAAATCTGAGTATGTTGACATGCATTTCCAAGGATTCTTGAACACCCCAACTGGGTAGCCCATCACACAGCCTGTATGGGGGAAAAACACTGGCTGAACCTCCCGTGTATCAGAACAGTGAGGAGTGGACATGGATCACTGGGGGCAGGAGTGGGGAAGGGTTCCCAAGATGAGCTTAGATGTCAGTGGGTCCATCCTGATCCTGCCCGATGTGTGCCCCATAGTCATGTGTATTTCAGCGTACCTTGTGCCATAGCGTTGGCTCTGGTATGGGATTGAGCATGGCCTGGCATAGTGGTCCTTGGAGTATGATAAGAATCTCTTGGGATCCCCAAGACCCTGCTTAGGGATTCTATGAGGTCAAAACTTTTTCTTATAATATTTAGACATTATTTTCAGTTCATTCTTATTGTCTTACAGGTGTACAGTAGAGTGTTCCAGAGGCTACAGTAGAGTGTGAAATAGCAATAGATTAAATGTAGAAACAGCTGGGCTCGGTGGCTCAGCCTGTAATCCCGCGCCTTTGGGAGGCTGAGGTGAGTGGATTGCCTGAGCCCGTGGGTTCGAGACCCGCCTGGGCAGCAAGACCTCATCTCTACAATAAAATCAAAAAATCAGCTGGGCGTGGTAGCGCATGCCTGTAATTCTGGCTACTCAGAAGGCTGAGGCGGAAGGATCGCCGGAGCCCAGCAGGTCGAGGCTGCGGTGGCCGGGAGCGGCCACTGCACTCCAGTCAGGGCGACAGAGTGAGACTCCAATCAAAAAAAAAAAAAAAAAAAATGTAGAAACAGCCATGAGAATCCAGCTGTTTTCTACCAAGGCAGACATTAAAAAGACTTATAAAAATATAAACCAGTGTCACTCTTCTCTCCTTTTTATTTTAGAAAATATTGGTATTTTCCTTAAAAAAATGTTGGCTGGGCTCGGTGGTTCAGCCTGTAATCCCAGCACTTTCGGAGGCCGAGACAAGTGGATTGCCTGAGCCTGCGGGCTTGAGACCAGCCCGGGCAACTTGGCGAGACCTCTTCTCTACAGTAAAATAAAATTAAAAAATAGCCGAGTGTAGTAGCATGTTTGTGGTTCTGGCTACTTGGAAGGCTGAGGCAGAGGAGCCGGAGCCCAGCAGGTCGACGCTAGGGTGACCGTGAGCGTGCATGCCACGGCACTCCAGCTTGGGCGAAGGAGTGAGACTCCAACTCAAAAAAAAAAAAAAAAAAAAGTTATGCATGCTCACATGTAAAGGGGTTATTGTTATTTTTAAATGCTTTAGTATTTAAGAATTTTCTCTGTTTTAATTTTTGTAGGTGACTATCAATAGATATAACCCATATAAACAAAAGCTCTTTGTTCTGACAACAAACCAAAAAGTTTGAGAATTGCTGTCTTAGCACAAAGCAGTTGGCTTGAGGTCTAGTCAGAGCTTTGCTTTGTCACCACGGGCAAATTGTTTAGTCTTATTTATTGACTTCTTCCTCTGTAAATGCTAATAATGATCCTGTTATATACTTATGAAAATATAATGCCCTATGCAAATTCAGGGAAGTTTAGTAGTTATATGACTAAACTGCTGTTAGAAGAAAATGCAAAGAATGAGATTTTCTGGCATATTAGCTGGTGGTCTGTTTTCTTGTTGTTGTTTTTTTTACTTTTAGTATCTCCTAGAAGTTTCCTTATACATTTTATGAGGGGACTTCCAAAAAACTGGAATTATTTTTTGGAGGGCAGGCCCCTTTCAGTACAGGCTTCCCCCACTAGGTAAGTGTTCTAGGAACCCACTGGCATCAGTGTACCAGCTAACATTGTAAGAGGCTGTGCTCGACTTCATTGAATTTTTTTTTTTTGAGATTCTTCCAGTACGTTTGCCCATTTCATGATGTGTGATTTATCAGCACTACTGCCCAAACTGTGCTGAGTGTTCAGCAGTTTTTGACCAAAGACGGCATGATCCCCGTGCTCCATCCTACCTATTCACCTGATCTCACCCCAGGTGACTTTTTTTGGTTTTCCTGGATGAAAAAAATCCTCAGAGGGAAACACTTTGCTGATGTGGAAGGGGTGAAACAAAAAATGGCATAAGCACTAAAAGGTATCAACATAGAAGAGTTCAAAAATTGTTTTGAGCAGTGGAAAAAGCATCTGAATACAGTCAAATAGAGAGAACTTTGAAGGTGACTGAAGTTTGAACATGTAAGAATAAAAATACTATTTTATTTTATTATAGAGATGTGGGGTAAAAGTAAGAATTAACTACACAGGTAGGCTGCATGCAGGTGAAGTTTGGGTCTCCAACTGGTCCTCACTTCCCCTGGTAAATGCACAATTTTTTATAAGTAAATTCCAAGTATTTTTTTTTTTGGTCCCCCCTCATGTTTCTTTTTCCTAGACAACCATTTTAATTATTTAAAAAATTAATTAAATACATTTTCTGGACTTTCGGAAAGTTACTTAACCTCTCTGTGTCTTGGCTTCCTCATTTGTAAAGTGGGGCTAATATCTAATACCTCACTTTTCAAGGCAGTTGTGAATATGAAAAATATGCACAGGAAGCACCTGGCAAAAGTGCTTGGCACATAATAGATGCTCCGTAAATAGTAGTTGCAATGATTGTTACTAACATATAGCAAAAGATGCAAGATTAAATTTAAGTCTCTTACCCTATCTTCAGTAGACGTATTAATCTACTTTATTCACAAGTCTATTGTCAGCCATTTCACTTCATTTCATTCTTTTCTTTTCTCCTTTGAAGGGCTATTGAGTGGCCAGACTTCCCCAACAAATGCCAAATTGGAGAAGCTAGACTCTCAGCAAGTGTTGCAGCTCTGCCTCCGCTATCAGGATCACCTGCATCAGTGTGCAGAGGCTGTTGCTTTTGATCAGAATGCTTTGGTGAAGCGAATCAAAGAGGTAATGTGCTGTGAGAAATAGCATTGCTTACTCATTATTGTGTTCCTGCTGCTCCTGATTCCATCTTCAGACTTGACATTTGTCACCAGTGCTTTGGGGCGATTCTTTCCTAGCAGTAAAATGTAATAGTGAAAGGAGTAGTCCTCAGAGCTAGAATGATATGGAGTTTGAATGCCACTGTGGAGTTCACCACTGATTTGGTTGCACTAGTTGCTTAACTTTTCTTTGTCTCAGTTTCCTCATATGAAAAATGGGGTTAGGTCAGGCATAGTGGCCCATACCTGTAGTCCAAGCACTTTGGAAGACCGAGACAGGAGGATTGCTTGAGCCCAGGAGTTTGAGACCGGCCTAGGCAACATAGTGAGACATCATCTCTACAAAAAGAAAAAAAAAAAAAAAAAGAAAAGAAAATGGGGTTAATAGTAATAACCTACTCCAAGGGTTGAGTGACAACAAAATTGCTTAGTAAGTGTTAGCTATTTTTATTATGTGTAAAGTCCTGCTGTACTAATTTGTTCTAGCTGACATTATATCTTTGAATTGATTTTAGCAGTTTCCTATATATAATTTATATTTTGTTTCCCAGTAGGTTATCATTTCTTTCAGAGCAGGAGTCTTGACATCTCCCTCAATTATATTCTTCACTGTGTTAGCACATAAAAAGCTCCAGTGATTCTTATTGGTTGTATGGAAACAATTATGCCTACTTAACCCACAAGGTCTTTAGAGGAAAGAAGTGGTGTAATTCATGTGAAAGTACCTCATAAACTAAAGAGCATGCTACAAATGTTGTGTAATTACCAGTAAGTAGGTACTTCTTTTAAGCACTTAAATGTATCATTGACCAGCGGTTGCATGGCACAGTTCTGGGGACACCAAGGGGTAAGTAAATACATCTTCCAAAGTTTCACTCAAAAAGGGATTTATATTCTCGATACCTTGAAGTAGTGTAATGTCAAGGAAGTGGCAGGAGCTCTGAGATGGAGAAACCACTTATGTGAATGACATTCCTTTGTTTGATTTGTTTAACCAAATGGTCCTGGTCATGAACCCTGGTGAGAGAGGAGGCATGTTAAGAAATGCATAAGTGATGGGTCAAGAATCACTGCAAATTTTTGTTTGGTAATAGAGGTGTAAACTATCCTTAAAATTATGACATAATGATTATATTGACATATTTAAATTTGCCAATACCTCGTACTTATCTTTCATGAAATGTTGTATGCATATACTCCTTTCTTGTGGATTAAGTTCTAAAATTTGGAAAACTATTGAACATGACCTTTCATATTGTTTGTCATTGATATGACCTTGCAAATATTATAAAATTATTTTACTATATTGTGGTCTACAGAGCTTTAATTCTCAAACATGACTGTTAATATTAGCATCACTTGGGGTTTTTTTGTTTAATACTGAGTTCTCCCCTCTCCTAGTAGGTCTAGGGAGTGGTCTGTGAATCATTATTTTAATAAGCTTACCAAATGATACTGATGATACCCTCCATTAGCTGGAATTTGGGAGCCACTGGTCTAGAGCACTATTGCTGAAATAAGTTCTGTAAAACATGTCCCATGTAAAGAAGGTCAAACTTTTTGCATACTCCATCACTACCCTCTGGAGAGTCACAAGCCATATTATCTTATTTAAAGTTCTTAGGATCTCACAGTGAAGAAAATCAGCACTTTTCAAATTTATTTGACCCCAGAACCTTTATCTTAGGTAACATCTATTAACATCCCTTAGGAGGAGAGATTTTGGAATATTCTTTTAGAAATGCTGTTGTCGATGTGAGACTTTTCCATTTTTGACTATTGTGCTAGAAGTTACCTATGACATTAACTCTCAAAGGGAAGATTTCAGAAAAATAAATTGACTTTTTGATGCTTACTCTTTTTAAGAGTTTCTCTAATCCATATCTGTTGTTTTACAGTTTAGGAAAATGTGGCACAGAGAGATGAAGTAACTAGCTCAGTGTCAGAGTGCTGGGGAAAGGATTTTATTGCTGGAAGTACCAGACGCAACTCCTCATAATACCATACTTTCAAGACTTCAGAGCAGTTTCTCAGCCCTGACTACATGTTAGAATCATCTGGGAATTTTTTTCCTCCAATATATATGGTGGAAAATTTTACATGTACACTGAAGAAGACAGAGTAACGCAATGAACCTTCATGTACTCATTAGCCAGTCCCTAGTTATAACTTGTGAATACTCCTGTTTCATCTGCACCCTCACTCACTCCCTGCCAGATCCCCATCTGGTCTATTTTGTAGTAAATCCCAGACATATCATTTCTTTCATAAATATTTAAGTATATAACTTAAAAAAATAAAGAATTCTTTTAAAAAGAACTTTTAAATTTGAATAATTTTAGACTTAGGAAGCAGTAAATAGTTACATAAATAGTTCACAGAGTACCTGTACAACCCCCATGCAGCTTCCCCTAAAGTGAGCATCTTATATAATTTTAGTACAACAATTAAAACCAGGAAATTAGCATTGGTATAATACTAATAACTAAAAGGAGACCTTATTTTGAATTTCACCATTTTTCCCACTAACAGAGGACTCCTTTTTAAAAATATAGTCACAATGCTGTTATACCTGAAATGTTTAACAATGATACATTAACTCAGTCAGTACAGCTGAGATGTTTTTAAGAAAATACAGATGTCTAGGTCTAACTTCAAACTAATTAGATCAAAATCTTTGGAGGGTGGTGGTGGTAGGAGGGGAGCTGGGTAGTGGTATTTAAGAACGTGCTCTAGGTGATTTAGCTTGTAGCCAAGGAAAAACCAGAAACAGTTTAAAATTCTGTTTGAGGAATTTTGAGATTCACTTTGGCCAGTAGTTATCCTGGATTACAGCAAAACAGAGAGCAGTACTCATGGTGCTGAGTGTACCTCAGTAGCTCTCAGGCAGAGGAGATGAGCACTGTTTAAGGGCCTTCACTGGTGATTTAGTGTGTCTATTGGTTCTCTGTTGGTGAGTTTAGCAAACTCCTGAAACAAGTACATCCATCTACGCTCACTTCAAACCTAAGGGCTGAAATTAGTCACTTCCAAATAAGCAAAGCAGAGGATGTAGTTTTGATCAAACACCAAGTCTCTGATATTATTCCAGATGTTTCCTGGAAATTAGGTTAGAGGAGTGAGGAAGTAACATAATGCTATATGTGTTGAAAAGAAGGGAAACTTAGTAGCCATGGAGCAACATGTTACTGGAAGGGTAGAACCTCAGCTGGAGGTTCATAAAGTTACAGTGCCTGTGATCACTGAAGTTTAGACCAAAGGGAAGCAGGGCTGTAACCATTTCTGATTCAGATAAAAGAGAATCAAAGAGTTAGCTAAGCTTTCTTATGTTAAATTTGGTTGATGCTTTTGAATGAAAAGTTTATGGTTATAGATTTGCGTATGTGAGAGTCAGAGAAGAATGAGGGTAATTTCCTTTACAACCAGAGAGTCTTGTGATATATTTTGACCACTAGTTTTCCCAGTTTACCACAGCCTCGACCTCCTAGGCTCAGGCGATCTTTCTGACTCAGCCTTCAAGTACTTGAGACTACAGGTATGTGCCACCACACCCGACTGGTTTTTTAATTTTTTTTGTAGAGACAGGACTTGTTTTGTTGCCCAGGCTGGTCTTGAACTTCTGGGTTCAAGTGATTCTCGCGCCTCAGCCTCCCAAAGTGTTGGGATTACAGGTGTGAGCCACCACATTTGACCAACCACTATTTTCTTTAATGGTGGTAGGATGATCCCTCAGTCAGCCAGCCAGCATTGCTGAGCCATGATTGAAGACTCACTTAGTGCAGGGGTCCTTTAGGGGTTATATAGTCCGTGCTCTCTGAGAGCTTATCCTGGATAAGGGAATGAAGATACACAGAGCAAAACTATGAAAGATAAAGATACTGTCAAAGGAGTGTATTCAGCCGTGGCTTATAGCTAAAGTTCTGTAAGAGTTCAAGATCAGGATACCCTGGAGCAGATGTGGTTTTAACTTGGTCTTAAAGGAAAACTAGGTTTTAGGAAATGAATGGAGAGGAAGAGGGGGGCATTGCTGGCAGGGGAACAGCTAGACTGTCTTAGAAGAAAATTAACTTTGGGGCTTCAGGGACAATGAAGAAATGGGCCTGAGTTTGGTAAGCTTGCTGGAAGAAATCTTCTCTGTATTAAGAATCACAGAATGTTGGAGTTGGAAGGACCCTCTGGTCCATGCTCTCATTATTTAGATACAAACATAAAGCCTGTTACAGAAAGTAAGCAATTTGTGCAGGGCCACACAGTAAGATAGCAGCCAAAATTAAATTAAAAATGGATGGATTAGAGGGAATTTTTTTTTTTAGATGGTACACTTGAACATGTTTACAGGCTGAGGCAGAAGAGGCCAAAGAGACAAGATTAAAGATGGAGGGGAAAAGGAGAGGTCCCTGAGGGGGTAAGAGTTAGAGCTCTCTGGGGCATTTGCTTTGAGAGAACAGGGAGGGCTCAGGCAGGTTTATGACAGAGGATCCCTGGCATAGATCAGACCCATCCAGGAGTTTGGGGATTCTCTGTGAAGAAGGGAAGTTCACTTGTTGAGAGTGGCGATAGTGACAAGGTGGTGGTACAGAAATGAGCACTGTGAGGCACTGAGGGTTCAGCTGAAGTGGGGAAACTTGTATTTGGTATTTGTATTTGTGGGCAGTTTGTCAAAATCGTTCTGTATGTGAACTCCAGAGACACAATGCCAAAGTTCGAATCCTGGTACTGCCTCTAACTAGCTGTATAACCTTGGACAAGTTCCTTGATCCTTCTGAGCCTCAATTTCCTCTTCTGTTCAGTGGCATAAGTGTAGTAAAGAATAGCATCCACCTCAGGTTTCTGCGAGGGTTCAATGAGTTGCTCCATGTATAGGACCAGGGATCTTGCCTGCCATGTTGTAAGCCCTGTGTCAGCTCTTGTTACTGGTTTAAATATAAATGGTTTAAATATAAATGATAACTAAAGAGAAAGGCC